CTTAAATAAGCGACACATGATCTTGTTCTGGACACATCAGGCTGGACTCTGATGCCGGACCTTTTCTAGATAGAAACCAGACTCCTTCTGGACCATGACATCATTCTGACATCATAGGTAGGAGCTAGGCTCAGGCACTAGGCCATAGGCCGGTCAATTCTGGACCCTAGGCCCAGGGCAGGGCAGGGCCAGACTATGACATCATATATGACATCATTGAGCACATGATACTTAGTAATCCTTACCCAGCTAGGTACCAGGGGTCCATTACCGGTCCCTGGGGGGTTTTCCCTCATGTATATAAGGCAGCATCCTGGGGCACCCTGTCCCCCAGTTCTATTCACTTCGTTGTTGCGCTTAACAGCATTACCTCCCCATACTTAAGTGCTATTATCTCCCCCCCTCAATATCAAGCTATAAGGTGGGTTTGTAGGTTTTGTGATAGGTAGCGATTTTTGACGGTGATCGCGTTCAACCATCAGTAGTCCTGTACGGGTCGAAGCGTCCCTTCCTTCTTTTTGATGAAGAAGAAGGGGGACGAAATGGGCGACTTCGACTCCCGTATATAGCCTTTTGCCAGCTGCTCCTTTAGGAACTTGTCTAGTTCCTCCTGCTCATTGTTCGACAGGGGGTACACCTTCGAATGGAACGTCGAATAGCCTGGCACGAGTTCGATTGCATGATCGTACGGCTTCCTTTCGGGTAGCCGTTCTGATGCTTCTTTCGAGAAGACCTTCAGAAACTCGTGGTACTGTTTGGGTACTGACTCCTCGGCGGTCTTGACGACCTTCTTCTTGATCTCTTCCTCAGTGAACAGCTGGGAATACGTGTGTCCTGCGGCAATGAACAGCTGAGGGGCGCCGGGAAGCGTGATACCGTGCTCCCAGGCTTCAATCAAGTCGGCCTCATCCCATTCTACTTCCACCGGATCTCCTTCGGGTTCGAGGTCCGGGAGCACCTTGCTCCGGCAGGCGCCTATGACCGACCGTTTGGACTTCGGCGAACGCCTGCGCGCCGTGGGCCTGTCCCCCGTATCACGCGCAGTCGCTGCTTGCTCCGTTCGGCCAGTCTTCCTGGCACTGCACGTCTCAGGGCATTGTGATAATTTCAGGGAGCCTGACTCCCAATCGATCTCAGGGTTGTGCTCTCGCAGCCAATCCAACCCAACGATCACATCTTCTGGACCAATGTCCATGACCGTAAACACCGTCTTCTCGACGTGCTCTCCTATGTGCATCTGTAGCACGGCTACCTCCGAGATGCTTCCGTCTTTATTAAGTGTTCCATCGATATTGTAAAGCGGGATTGGCTTTTTCAATTTCCGCGTTTGTACTCGATTCTCCGTGATGAAACACTTGTTGATGAACTTCGTAGTGGCTCCGCTGTCCACCATTGCAACTATATCCTTGTGCCGTCTTTCTCCTTTGAGGCGTACTGGAATGTGGAAGTGCTGGGACCTGTGGTCTAATTCGTAAACATTCGCAGTAGCCAATACATTGTACATGTTATTATTACGCGGCCCGACGCGTGCGGCACGAAGCGCGGACCGGATCAAAAAGACTCCTCCTTCATCGCCTGATAGTGTTCGAGCTCCTCGCGCATCGACTTCATCTGTGCTATTAAGTCCGCCAGCTCGAAACCTTCCGATTTCGCTAAAGTGGCGCTTATACTCGCCGAGGATGAAGCGACGGGGGCGCTTGTCGCTGCCTGGGTGGAACCCGAGGCAACCGTAGCCCACGCGTCGGCGCGTTTTGTGTAAGGCTTGTCCTTACAATTGGGGCACTCGAAACGTCAGTACCCTTGCTTCCCACAGCCGAAGCATGTGCCGGGGAAGTTGCCTTTTCCGACAGCCGCATTGATGCTGGCCGAGGCTGCATGCGTCGAGGGTGCACCACCACGTGCCCCTCCGCGCCCTCGTCCTCGAGCCGAGAAGAAGTTGTTCAACTCGGGCCGACAGGCCTGGCTGATGTCGAGGATCTGCTCGACCTCAGTGGCTCGCTTTTCAGCGGCTTGCCACATGGTAAAGGTCTCCAGCTCGATCTTGCGGTATACGCGGGAGGGTATGCCGCTCAGGTACTTGTTGCATAGCTCCAGGTCCCCATACCCAGAGCAGTCCGCCGGACCCTTGAACAACGCGGAGAATTCCGCAGCAGTGCGTTTTTTACAGACCAACTTGTCCGCACAGAGCTTCGCCAGCTCTACTTGTGCTGCCGCCTCGTCATCGAGATTTCCGAAGCGGGCCTTGAATGCGGCGGCAAAGGCCACTTCGTTCCTGAATGGGGTTGTAGCCCCTTGCACTCCTACCTGCACCAACACGAGCTGGGCGAAGTAGGGAGTGGCCCAGGCGTGGGCGTCACCGTCGAGTAGGCTCAACGCAATCTGTACTTTGAGCTCGATGGTGGTCAACGACGTGTTGACCATCCAGTAGATGCGCAGCTGTGACAGGAACCGGTTGCATTCTATGACGGTTTTGCCATCATATCGGAGGGGGAGCAGGAGCCTCAGGGTCTCCTTGTCGGGGGCAGTTGTGGGGGAAGACATTACCGGCATCGGGGGGGACGGAGGATGCTGCGGGGGTGGAGGCGGCTGTGGTGGCCCTCCGCTGGTCGAACTTCGAGAGGAGCGAGTGCTCGAGCGGCCTCTCGGCGGAGTCAGCGGTGAAGGTGCTGAAGGAAGTTCGGTGGGGGGGTCACGTACGTCAGGGACTGCTGACGCGGGGGCAAATGCTGTCGGTGAGGCGGACCCAACAGAATCCTCGGACTCGGACTCCGAGACTCCTTCACCTGCACCCTCCTCAGGCTTAGGCTCTGGTGCAGGGTCTGGAGGGAGATCTCCTCGTACTTGGCTGGACTCAGCAACAGTTTGGGGAAGGCGGGAGGTAGGGGAGACAGGGCGAGAGTGCCTCGAGGCGGATCGAGATGCAAGGGTGCTTCGAGGGCCGAGCGGATGTTGTGCTTGCCTGATTGCCTTGTAGCGCGGGTAATCTTCCGCGATCGATCGGGGTGTCCGGTTGGGGCACGGCTGCTGCTCACAACGGTAGATGACAGTCTCAGGGCCGTCTGGGATGTAGACGTTGATGAGGTCCTGAGAGTCGAATGCGTGAACTTGGCCTTGGCAGGCAGCCACGTTGGATGGGGGGAGGACGGGAAGGTGCGCGTACTACGAAAGGCCGTGCTATTCTAGCTTACACCTATGGCGCCCGAGATGACACTGAGATTCGCAGTTCACGTAGGGCCCAATACTGCTTTTGACTATTATGCAGCAGGAACCAAGGCTACGCGTCCGTGAGGACAAGTACCGCTCACTGAAGCGCAGGTACTGAAGAGTTCGTCTCTCTAGTGTTGGCGATGTATAGTAGGCTATCTACGTATCGTAAGGTATAGTGAGGGTGCGCACCACCCGACCTATAGGAGAGGAAGTGAGTGTGTGGGTTCCAAAAGAACGCCGGCAGCAGTGAGGAGTTTCGACCTAATGTCGCAACTTGAGGTCAAGTGATAGGGGAATATCTGAAAGCAGGGGGTGTTCGACTGGTTCTCACCGAAGCGATGGTGAGCGGGGCTCAAACCTAAGGCTAGGGACAAGAAAGTGTATTAGTTAGTATAAGTAAGTAAGCAGATACATGAGAGCTTACTGACCTAGGGACAAGAGGTCAAAACTGAGGTCCCTAGGGCAGCAGAGGCCGGCTTATATACAGGGGAAGATAAGGGCAGGCTGTGCGCACTGGTCCGTGCGCAGCTGGTCCATGCACAGCTGGTCCGTGCACAGCATGCCGACGCGGCCCCGGGGGCCGGTGAGTCAGAGTGGCTGTGTCAGCGGAGCCCGAGTGTGCTGCGCACTGCCACCCATCCAATCTAATTGTACAGTAGATAGTGATGCGTCCATATTGGGTATGTAGTACAGAGGTCGTGGGTTCAAGCCCGCAAAAAGGAAAAAATTAAAAAATGGCTAGACACCGTACCAACTCGTGACATTGTCAGTATCTCATCAACCACCATGACCACCCACTCGAAGTCCTCACCAAGTCCCATGATGAGAACAAGGACCTTCTGCTGGTCTGATACCTCAACGTTGACATCCCGAAGCGCTTGTGCATAGCCTTTGACCCAGGAGATCCAAGCCTGTGCTGTCTCGCTGCCTTCCATCTCTGCGTGGTAAAACTGTCACCACTTTCCCAGCTCTGTGGCAAAACCTTGTGAATGGTGCGCATCCTGAAGAACCTGTCAGCACTCACGGGGGTCCGTTTCGTCCTCCAACAGCTCCAACTGGTCATCACCAACCCAGAGCATGATCTCCGCCTGCACCTTGGCCATGTTGGCCTTCTTGTGCTTCTTCAGCTCCTTCGCTAATGCCTCAGCCCTGTCTTTCCCCTCCTTGGGCTCCATGTCATGAGTTGGCATATAATCAGCATATATACCTCCGGTCAGATGTGAAGCCAAGCTTGACATTGCACCCTTTTGGTGTAGAGGTTATGATGTGAGACCGGCACATGAATGTAAATCCTTACACTCCACCTCGACTTCCACTACCCCCCACAGTCCCTTCCTAACCAGCTCCGCCTCCATCTTCATTGCCCAGACCCGATACTTCCCCTCGACCAAGAGGGGGAACTTGGTGTCATGCTCCGAAGTCATGTTGGTGCCAGTATCAGACGAGAAAGTAGTATAGTGAGGTTCTAGGCAACAGCAAAGCACTTGATTTGTCGATCGGTTTGTGTGAGAACAACACCGGAAAGACCGCTGGCAGACAACATCCTCGATGGACAGGGATCAATGGATGATTAGGTTACAAACCGATGGAGCTACCTATGGCGCGCGACACCTACATAAGTCCTCTTCCCACACCGGCACACGACCACGTGACCCGGGCCGGCAGCGACGCTTGCCCGACATACAAGTGCAGCGAGAACAGCCTTGTCTTCCTCCAGAATGCGCACACTCTCCGGCAGAGCCGTATTCTCCGAGTACCAACCAGGAGCCAGCTTCATGCAAGCGGACTGGAACAGATCGACAAGGGGCTTCGCAACGCCGGCGTCGACGGCAGCAGCATGTGCATACGCATAACCGAAAGCCAGGATTGTCGGTTCACTCTGGGGGAAAAGAAGGTCATTGTATCTAGGATCGCGATGTCCGTGCCTAATGGTAAAGAATATTCCCTGGCATCACACCAGGACATCTTCTGCGTGACGCCACAAAACCGAATGGTCTGATGGGGGAGGAGGAAGGGATACATGCCCTTGGAGAAGATCTGGGAACAGGCGGACACATATTGCCCTGATGTCGTCTTCCGTCACTATGAAGCCACGGATATCCATCTGCCAGTGTGCGGTCCGTCAGTGAGTTTACCAATTGTCCCGATCATACTGAATCCGTACCTCAATCTGATTGATCATGTTGTGGCCAAACGTCCCTTGAGCTCCAAGGCGCTCGCTTACCTCGCGGTAGTGGTGCGTCGTGAGGCGACAAACCGTCGTCTTAGAGACAATTGCGACTGTTTTCTTCATGTCTGGGGCGACATGCGACGATGTGAACTGCTCGATGACTTTGGAAGCCCAGGCGTCAAGCACGTAGGCGACGGCCATACAGTATAGGATTGGCAGCTGTTGTGTCTTAAACACTATGATTGGGCTCTTCTCCGCCGGCTTCCCTTGTACGACACGCCTGAACGAATAATCGACGCCGATACATGCGGCGAGCTTGGCGCCAGTAATGGCGATGAGGGATAAGGAAATCTGGCCGACGACGACTCTCCGGATATACTCCATGAGGAGACCGTGAGCATCCGGCGGTGCATCGAGTGTATGTCCGAGAAAGGCGCTAGGAGGGAGGCGAACGTGATCGAAGGAGGTCATGCAAAAGTCTAGAGGGGAGCTTCCACCACGCGGAGGAAGGACCGCGGAGGAAACCCCTTGCACATCTCGTACTCGTCTGAGGTACGAACAAGGAAAGGATGAATCCCACGATCTTCACTTCCTACAATCAGTCGCGCAAGAACCACCGCAAATTTAGAGCGTGTGGTATAAGGCATTGTAGGTGGCATGAATCTATGTAATTCACCGGATGAGTCGAAGCCTGAACGATGCAGAAGCCACGTACTTCGTCGCCACGGCGCTCGGCGTGTTCAATATAAACCTATCTTCCACCTTTGTCGCTGTCGTCTCCATCCTATACGCATCTAATCCGTGCCCGACTTCGGTCATCAAGAAATTGCCGATGATATTCCCGTTGAGAGCCTGCAACATCATGGGTACCAAGTCCGGCCGTTCCTTTCTAACCGCTGATATTGTTCCCAAGAACAGATTCAGATGGCAAGCAAGGATGGTCCAGCAACCGCCGTCAATCGCAAGTACGGGGTCTCGATACATATCCCAAGACCGCGGCGAGCAAGTCGCGATGTCTTCGATGCCGAACTCTACATTTGATATACGGTCGGTATCAAGGAATATCATGTGAATGGAAATGCACTCACTCCATGTCTTGAGGAACGCGTCAGCTCCACGGTACGCAAGATGAACACGGCCCTCGTATGGCAACATTTCTGCACGAGTGCGGAAATCGGGATGCTTGTGAAGGGCGGCGTGCATCGTAATTAGGGAGAGCGAGCGACAACACTGGTGAGGTGGGGGATAATTCAGCGTACGATCACACAGCTTTTGAAGGTTCGTTAAGCGCACGGCATCTGCGAATGGTGTCTTGTTCTGGTAATGGTAGGATGGAAGCGCATGATCCGTATTGCACCCTTCAGAAAGCCGCGAAGACTGGCATCGCACCACCACGACATACCTCGAAGGAACCTTTGCCATCTGCACTCACTGCATCATGCTAGCCTTCCATTCTTCCATTCTGTAGGCCAGTATGCTGACGTTATCTCCATTACATCCTGGCATTCTGGATTGCAGAATGTTGATTACCAAGACACAAGCCCCGCAAACCCTATTGCGAGCGGTGACTCATCAGGCACCGATTTCGAAAAGAAGTAGAAAGGGCGGAAAGACACGCCTGTCCTCGAGCTGGAGCGTAACGCCATTACCAAAGTAGCATATGTCCATCACAAGCTGTGGACTATGATGCAGGAGATGCAGGAGCCTAGGCCGGGTTGTACTAGCAAGCGGTGGAGGCCTGGGGTTGTGCGTCCGAGTCGTTGAATATGGGATATGTATTTGAGCCGTATCCTCAAGAACGCGCACTGGTAAGTCTCCTTCTCCATTATAAATTGGTCAAGTAAGACTGTGATCCCCACATTTATACGCTTCCGGAGGCATTTAGTTATCTTACAAGGTACCTCCTCTTGTAACTCACTATGCGTTAAGGTATTCCTGGAGACATTGGCCATAGCCAGGATAAACTTCCGTAAGCACATACTGCTATCGTGTCAACGTACGTCACCATGTGAGACAGGCACGGCGAGCCTCTTAGCTGATGGGCCTTGACGTCAACACCGACCCGATAAGATAGATAAGAGCACTAGCACAAATGTACGACTGACCCAGACATCAAGACATCACTGATCCCAACACCGCTCTGGCCCTTCCGCTTGCACAAGCGCCGATCGCGTCCGTAATTGTTTCCGTTTCCTCTGCCATTACGGCCTCAGGATGCTCATCCGCTTCTACATCCTCCGCGCGCGCTCCATCAACAGGCTGCACGTCCTCTTCCTGGTTGATCAGCTCGCGTGTCTTCGTCATGAGCTTAGATACTGTTCGCCGCTTCTTCGGCGAGGACGCGGGATCAAGCTTCGAGCGCGACTTGCGCTTCAATGACATGGGATCGGCGGCAACCTCGATTTCGGCCTGCGATGCGATGACGTTCGTCGCTGTGCGTCTTCGCTTCGGCGTACGCTTCATCGGTGACGACGTAGGTGTCCTAATGGTGGACGCCGCTTCTCCGGATTCTCCGATAGCATTAGGTGTGAGCTCGTCCACGCCCTCTTGCGTCACGTTCGTCTTCGTCCTCTTTCCGCGCGTCTTCGCCCTCGTCTCGCGCGCATCATCTTCGTTTACCTCCTCAGCGGCATCCTCTCCATCGCCCTCATCGTCCTCGGCAGCTACGCATCCCTTCCCGCGGATGAACGGTTTCGGCGGGTTCTCCGGGCGCAGATTCGCATGAATAACGGGTTCGAGGCCGTATATGCGGTATAGGTGGAACACGGCCTGTTCCTTGTCCTTCGCCTACATCAATCGGTCAGAATTGCTCGGACGTCGGAATAAGGGACGCAGATGGAGACCTCAATCATTAAATCGACGTCGCCGCCAACAAGGACTTCGGGCAGCTCCTGGCACCGGTCAGCGTGCGCGCGCTTCTCCATGATGCTCTCTGCGCCCGGACGCGGCTCGCTGAGGTGCTGCTTTTGTCGGATGCCCTTCCGCGTCCATGTTGCTGCAATGCGAGGCAAGAGCTCCGGAAATGGGAGCACACTCGGCTGGCATACGCATCAGTCGGCATGCAACCATCAGGTGTGAGTAAAACATACATTTATCCAATTGTGGTGATAATCCAGCTGTGAGAAGCGCAGGGTAAGTGACGTATTGGTATGAATTCTAGCGCAACGTACCACCATGGGGATGCTCAGCTCCTCGCATATAGGGAGCAGCTCGTCTGGGTTGTAACATATCTCGTCATTCTCGAGTACCAGCCGCGCCTTCATCTCGTCCGTGAGCTTCGTGGTGTAGTTCTCGCGGAAACGCGCGAGCGCACCGTCCTTGTCGCCGTACACGCCCTGCAGGCACAAATGCATTACCACGGTGACACGGGACCGGTCGCCACAAAGATTGTAACACACCCCCATATGGATGATGATCACACTGTCCTGGTCGAGATCCATGTAGCGCATCATCTGACAATGATCTGTTGAGACAATGGATAATCAGCATACTTTGCGACCGCCGGAGTACAGACACAGGCGCATATATCCGCCGGTGCCTGTGCCGAATTCTGAGACGAAACTCACAATCAAGTTCTCGCACACTTGCTTCGACGACATCCTCACGAGGCGACGCGAGCTGTGTGAACTGGCCGGGATGGGCAGTAAGTCGATGGCCGTAGTGCTTTGCCAGTGCCCCGGCAGCCTATATGCGCAAGGTTTCGACACATCAAGCAAGAATCAGGCTTCCAGGTAGGATTATGAGAGTCAAATATGTACCTTGAGCTCCTCGTGCGCGTATGACAAGTCATACCCGTGCACCTTGTGCGACGCGAACGGGAACATCTCCGAAGATACGCGGAAAAAGCGGATTTTGTTCTCCTCGTTCCACTGCATGGGATGTGTTAACATTCATGCGGCTCATAAGAGATAGACACGAGATTAAACGCACCTCAATCATTTCGAGGAGATCCGTAGCGTTCCTGCGCCCGAGGTCCTTCGCGAACTCAATACCATTCTTGCGAATCGTGTCAAGTCGGCACGTGCGCGAGCAGAAAACAGGCTCTGGCTTGCGGACACGCAAGATAGTGTTGAGACACGCGTAGCCAAGGCGGCCTAAACGGCAACGAACATCAGTACAAGCAATCGGCGGACACATGAGCAACGGCACCTGTAAAACCGGTTTGCTTCCGTTCGACAGCGGGTATGTCATACACCACGGGCTCAGTGTCCTTCTTGCGCCGTGTGTGCTTCACCTTCGGTTTCGCCTCGGCTGATTCGTCGTCGAGCGCCGTGAGCTGTCCCTCGTTCCCATCTCCTGCGGCCGAGTTTGTAGGTTCGCCTTCGCCGTCAGTGGTGGCTTCCGCGTACTTCACCTTCTTTTTAGTGGCTGAGCGGGCGGATGCGCGTCTGCGAGGCGATACGGCAGAACCCGCGAGACCTGGGAGCGGCTCGCTGAGAGCTAGAACCGCAGCAGTTGCCGCTGCTATAGGGTCTTCCATTAGAGGTACTGGGTCGGATGACGCTATGGTTGGCTCTGCGGCTGCCAAGTGCGAAGCCTCAGGGACCTTCAGAGAGCGTTTTCGCTTTGAAGGCATGACAACCACAGGAGAATTTGCAGGACTGGCTGACGAATAAGGGGAGGTGGTGGAATAAAGCGATGCACTTAGAGCGATAAATGCAGCACTGTTTCGAAGGACTAGAGAGGCTCCGACGGAAGACCTAGTCACAGCACGCGGACATAGGGAAAGAGCTGGACGGGTATGGGCCGCAAGGAACATCTAGCGAGCTGACTGTCCCGCGTCGCATTATAAGGGTTCCCTCCGCGGCCGCCCCTATGGTGCCCCACCCGTCCGATCTGTAAGCCTCCTCCGGGCACGATCGAGCCTCCAAAACGGGTCCAATATTGTGGTAGTGTCTTGATTGCCCTGGCAGTGTGATGAATGCACGATTGAATATGCAAGGTGTTGCAGTAGACACTACCTTGATTAAGGAGTTAAGGAGTCCTGCAAGAGAGGACACCAAATTTCGTACTTCATGCAAAGCTTCGAACGAACGAACAGCGTAGACGCCGAGCGCGATCAGATCATGTGCGCTGATGCGCCCTGCGGAGCGTAAAAAGATCCGTTATCTCGGCCATGTTGCATTTGGTTACGTGACTCTGGCCTGCGGCCTCATAGCGCTGGCGCAGTTTATCGGGTGGGGAATTACGCAGAGGTATGAATGGAGGGGTGGCAAGGAATGTAGGGAAATGGGACTCGTGGCAGAGTACTGGATTTAGCACAAATGTATGCTATCCTGAGACTACTGTATGACCTCTGCTCACTTCTCGTTGCTGTGTCACACCTACCAATCTGCCAGTGCATTTTGGCAGCATAGACGCTGAGCTGCAGCTTCTAGGTTTCCACGTCTACGGCCCAGCCTCTCAGCGAAAGCTGTCGCGCCCAGGCCTTCGCTGCCTTGTGATTTTAACAAACGCCGCATTCGCTGGTAACGGAGATGCCTCTGTATCTTATGTATACGTCTGCTGTGCGTGTGATAGCGTGCGAACAGCGGCACTTCCAATGACACAAGGAACACTCTTGCGCGTGCGTGAAGAGGCAATATGTCCGAGGCCATCGTGCGTTCGCTGTTCGTATACGCCCCTTATGGCAATAGTTTAGTATCTGAGACAGGTGCGTTTCGCTCGTTTTGCGGATCCTGATCGGAATGGCAGACTACGCGTGGTCGCTGTACGAATCACTTGCATAACGATGGCCGTTTTTGGTGAACGCCGTAATATTGACCAACTTGTATAGATGGACATATGCACTTTTTGGCCACTCCGCCTGTGTGGTACGTCATTCTATTAACACATTCTGGGATAGATGCAAGGTTGTGTGTAGAATTTCCTTCGTCCACTGATCTAGCTCCCCCCCCCCTTCATTGGTCACTCTTCTTTCCATAACTCCGATTCGCTGAACTCTCTCGGCATACATCCTGATACAAATCGCTCTTGCAGTTTGATCGTGCGTTTTCCCCGTGATCATCTGTGCGACTAGTGGGTGTGCAGAACTCAAGTGACCACGGTCGAGTACTCCATCGATGTAGTACGGTTGGGACAAGCGTGCTGGCTAGACATTGCACGCTCCGGCGCGAAGACTGCTGTGAGCTACGACGCACAATGACCTGTCGGCTCCGGGGGGAGCATCAAGAGGGTGCAAAATCCCCTCAATTCTACAAGCGAATAAGGCCTTTTCCGAGCGTGCGTTTCATGAAGTACTTCCCGATTTCCTTCACACGTGCAGAATAGAAGGTGGCGGTCGATCGCTGTGGGCTGGCAGACCGAATTCCGGCGTCATCTCCTCGGCCCTCCAACGGCCCCCGCTACACGCATAAAAGCTGGACATCTCTCGTTCACTACTCGCCACCGCTTCACTGCTTTCCGTCGCGGTTGCTCCACTCATGCTCTCCCTGCGGCGTATCAGTACGGCTCTCTCCTTGTTCAGCCTGCTCGCCGTCCGTGGCCGAGCAGACAACCCTATAACCCCAGGGTTTCCTTACGCTTCTGAGAAGGTGCATGGTGTGAACCTTGGAGGATGGCTTTTACTCGAGGTAAGCCGCCGACGCGCGATCGTACTAGCCTCCGCGTGATTGCGTCTCTTTCTGCAGCCGTGGATCACTCCCAGTCTGTTTGACAAGACTGGCAATGATAATATCGTCGATGAGTGGACATTCTGTGAGCTCCAGGACACCGCGACCGCGACTGAGGCTCTTCAAAACCACTGGGAAACCTGGATCACCGAAGGAGATATAGCGGACATCGCTGCTGCAGGGTGCGTCACCGTCACGTGTTCGCGTTTTGCCTTGTGAAGGACACGGACGCCTCATGTAGCCTAAACCACGTCCGACTACCCGTCGGATATTGGGCGTTCGAGGTCGGCGCTGGAGAGCCATACATCCAAGGACAGCTGTTCTACTTGGAATCAGCCGTCAACTGGGCTGCCAATTATGGCGTCAAGGTGATAATAGACCTGCACGGCGCCCCGGGAAGCCAGAACGGGTGATTATCTTCGCGCTCAATCTCTGTTCGGCGCACGTCCGCTAACGCTCTGTCAAGCTTCGATAACTCGGGGCACAGGCTGTCCTACCCTGAGTGGCAGTCGAATTCGACGAACGTCCAGCGGACGGACTCTATCATCAAAACAATTATTTCCATGTACGCTGACCACCCCGATATCGTCCCTATGATCGCGCCATTGAACGAGTGAGTGGATGTTCCGCAGGCTAAATTTAACCAGATTCTGATCTGCGTCCGTGCATGCAGGCCGACGGGATATGACGGCTCAGCCGTCATGGACGTTCTAACCCAATACTACTACGATTCATACGGAAACATCAGGCGAGTACAGCGCCACAAGATCTGAGCGATCGATCGCTGACACAATGCTCACACAGACGCCCGTATGGCAGTTCTCAAGAGAGTAACACCGTCGTATTGCTCCACGATGCGTTCCTGCCTCTTAGGTAACGTCTGCAGTACAATCAAGCTACTCTGAACCTTTTCAGATGTTCAAATCAGTTACTGGTCGGGTTACATGACCCCCCAAAATTGGCAAGGCGTTGCAATGGACACGCATATCTATCAGGTGTTCTCGCAGGCGGTACGTGCGTGTGGTTGTGATCGTCTCCAATGACTTATGACATGCGCCTCTCTACATGATATGCCCAACAGGAGGTAGAATATTCGTATTCTCAACACATTAGTGCCGCATGTGCCTTTGCTTCGTCGCTCTCAGGGTTTGATCTTTGGCTCATCGTCGGAGAATGGTCGACTGCACCGAACGATTGCGCGACGTATCTGAACGGGCGTGGCGTTGGCTCCCGATACGACGG